AGTATGGGTCACCATACTTGGCCACATGTCACGTCACTTTAAAAGAGGTTTTACTTTTTTTAAAGTTTCTGCATATGACATCGTTTCACTAAAGAAGACGCTTATTTGTCAGGTTGGGTCATGTGTTTTACTCGGAAGCTGCCTAAATATGGATTTTGGAGTGTCAAAAATGGACTACGTTAAGCTCCGTATGCTTGCGTACGATGGAGAAAAAGTATGTTTTCCTCCAAAACGTTAATTCTCTCTTCGGCTGAAGAAAGTCATGTACGTCTTGGATGACCTGTAAATAATCAAGAAATTTTCATTTGAACGATTCCTTTAAGAGTATTCTTAACCTGCCGTTTAGTGCATTCATATGTTCATATTCTGAGCTCATCATCATGCTTGTCTGTATATAATATACATCCTCAATAAGGTGTATACTGAATTTTATATTACGCATGTTAAGCGTTTTAAGTGATTATAATGCAATGGAACACAAGTGCTCAAAACTTCTCATATCTTTGCTTTTCATCTTTTGAGAGATGATCTAAATATCCATGGCTTATAGCAGATGGAAAATTGATGGAAGAGCTGCAGGTCTATGGATGTTTTGCGCACAAGTCATGTGACTGAAAACAATGCATGGATATGTGCTGTTGTGAATGTCACTGATTTCTCATCCTACTGTAGGTGTGTCAGCTGCTGGAGGATCTATTGGGAGAGGTATGCCAGCCTTTCTATAAGCCTGTGCTCAAATTGGACCCAGCATCTACCAGAAGAAAAGCTCTGAAGGTACCAGACCTCACTTTAGTTCTGTCTAATCTGAAAATTCATGCTTTGCATTGTCTGCTCAGTATCTAAAAATAGAATGTCGTTGTCTTTGAATACCACCCTTCAGAAAGTATGTGCGGTCCTAAAGGAGGATTGCACGCATCGGAAAGTCATGTGTAAGCACCCGTGGTTATGTCTCTTCCTCTGGGCGGTGCTGCAGAACCATAGTGAGATGGCGATCTTCTGCTGGGAAATGGTAACATGCTTCTGATGAGTTGCTGTAGGGATGCACTATACTGTATATCACTTATTGGCTGATTTTAGAGATATTATATTGTATCATTATGGAGTGGTATTGGATATTTATTTGATCATACTCATTTCCCCTGTTTTTATATTTAGGCTACATTTGAACACTTGCTTAAAGTTAATAAATACATATTAGTATTAGTTCAAATAAATACAAATAATTTATTAACTGTATAAAGTAAATAAATATACATTTTCCATACCATACATTACGGCTTTGTCATTGTCTATATCATCACAAAATGTAAACTGTAAAATTGCACAGCTCTATTTATAAAGTTGCATATGTATTATATCCAACTTTATCCGCATACATAGTTTACTCATGTAAAGTGATATGTGCTGTATAACAGATCTCAACTGCTTGATTTTTTAAAATTGTTTTAAAATAAAACTATCGCCTAACTCGTTATATAAAGATAGATACATATGTATGTACACCTTCATCTGCATATATACAGTACACTTAAATTATGCATCAAGTTTTATATATTATATAACAAATCTCAACTGCTTGCATCATCACAAAATGTAACTATATAATCACCCAGCTCTAATCAGCTAAATACGATTACAAAGCATGAAGATGTTAAGATATTATAACTATTAACATCATATGATTTTCTGTAAAGCTGCTTTGAAACAATGCGTATTATCAAAAGTGTCATACAAATAAATTTGACTTGACGTTATAATGCTGATGCAAAAATTCACTTTTAGCATTTAAAATTATTGATTTTAGTTTTTAGTGTTTTATTTTCAACATGATAGTAAAGAATTCAAATATATATATACTATACCCTACCGGTCAAAAGTTTGGGATCAGAATACATTTTTATGTTTTTACAGGAGTTTTCTAATGCTCATCAAGGCTGCATTTATTTGATCAAAAATACAGGAAAAAATTTAATATTGTGAAATATTATTATGATGTAAAATAACGTTTTTCTATTTTAATATACATTAAAATCTAATTTATTCCTGTGATGCAAAGCTGAATTTTCAGCATTATTACTCCAATCTTCAGTGTCACATGATGCTTCAGAAATCTGAATATGCTGATTTATTATCAGTGCTGGAAACTGTTGCTGCTTAATGTTTTTTTTTGGAACTTGTGTTACTTCTTTCAAGATTCTTTGATGAATAAAAAGATAAAGAGAAGAGCATTTATTTAAACTAGAAATCTTTTCTAACAATATACACTACAGTTAAAGTGTTTATTCTTTCTTTTTTTTTGAAAGAAATTAAAACTTTTATTCAGCAAGGGTGTGTTAAATTAAGAAGTGATAGCAAAGATTTATATTGTTAGAAAATATTTATATTTTGAATAAATGCTGTTCTTTTTGACTTTTTATTCATCAAAGAATCCTGAAAAAGTATTGCAGTTTCCCAAAAAAAATATTTGGCAGCACAACTGTTGCCAACATTGATAATTCTAATAATAAATCAGCATATTAAGATGATTTCTGAAGGATCATGTGACACTTTATACTGGAGTAATGGCTGATGGAAATTCAGCTTTGCATCACAGAAATAAATTATATTTTAGAGGATATTAAAATAGAAACCATTATTTTATATTGTAATATCATTTCAATTTTTTCTATTTGTCACATACATGGTTATATAGAGAATATATGACCAGCAGTGAAATGTAAGATTTGTGTAAATCTAAAATGTAAGAAAACTTTTTTTTTTTTGCAAGATTACTGTTTTTTTTTTCTGTATTTTTGATCAAATAAATGCAGCCTTGATGAGCATAAAAGACTTACTGATCCCAAACTTGTGTGTGTGTATGTATATATATATAAATACATAAATACACTATAAAATAAAGGTTCTTTATTGGCATATATGGTTTCGTTAAGAACATTTAACATCCATGGAACCGTTCCATTGTGCAAAATGTTTGTTTCTTTAGCGGGAAGAACATTTAAAAAATCTAATGAACTTTTTTCCCCTAAAAAAACAAACATTTTGCACAATGGAACGGTTCCATGGATGTTAAATGTTCTTAACGAAACCATATATACCAATAAAGAACCTTTATTTTATAGTGTATTTATGGGTTGCACTGATATTACAATTCATAACTTTGCATAAATGGCTGAAAAAAATTCATATTTAAAAAAAATAAATATATATATATATCGGTCAAAAGTTTTGGGGGAAAAAATTCTACTGTAAAAACACACCTTTATTATTAAATTATTATTAAAATTGTATTGCGATATTTAGATAATCTGTTCTGAGATGGAAATATTCTTGCAGCATCATCCTCATCTGTGCCGCTCTTCTCTCTCAGTGCGGTGAGTCGGTTCTGACGGCTCTGGGAGGATGTAAACTATTGAGGGAGTTGTCTAAACTGGAGATTGAGACAGAAGCTAAGCTATCCATGAAGGAGTTGGCCATGAAGTTTGAGTGTATGGCTCATGGTAGGATGTCCTTGCTTTTGGAATCTTATAAAACCAGTGATAAAAGAAAGTTTAAGCTTCTATCCACTGTGACTGTTTTGACAGATGTGTTTAGCACATGCTACCAAACCAAAGCAAGTTATTCCAATCAGCTACTGATCCGCAAGTCTCGTCTGTGGGTTGACGCCACCTGTCTGAAGATGGCCATGGCTGCTGACGCCCGTTTTTTCTTCAGCCACGATGGAGTACAGGTCTGTCGGCATGCAGATAGACGTTTCTTTTGAAATAAGGTGTGTTTTTCTTAAACAGTCTCTTTTTTTTTTTTTTTAGTCCCTGCTATCTCAGATCTGGTGGGGTGACATGGAAAGAGGAACTGAACTGTGGAAGCTCGTGTTGACAATGATCATTCCTCCTCTCCTCTACACCAACCTCATTGATTTCAAGTCAGTACATCAGTGATGCAAATGTCCTCGCATCTTTCCTCACATTATCACTATGCTGCACTTCCTTTATTTTTTTGCATTTACTATAATGTCCTGTTTAACCCTGTGAAGACTGACATGAAATAATAGATTTTTTTTAATTGAATAAAGACATTAACGAAAATAGAAAATTAACTGGATGCTTAATAGGGTGGAAATAAAGAGATACAATTAACTTATTGAGCGGTAACTTACCTTTTAAAACCATGTTTAAAAACTTTGTATCATCATACCAATTTGGTTAATTTTATTTGACAGGATAGAAGATACAAACCAACTAATGCCACAAATCATAACAGAATTTTTAAAATCCATTGCTAATATTTGCGCAAATTTGACCCAAATAGAACCGGCGCACAAACTTTTTGACATTCCAAAAATATAAACAAATATAAAGTTTTACTTATTTTTGTTATATTGTGTGGAAACTTTGTGGCATTTTGAACAGACATAAGACATTATTTTAAAAAAAGTTGTTAACACTCATCTGTGTCAAACATTACAGTAAGGGTTAAATTAGATTTTTAATTCCATAAAATAAAATAAGCAACACATGTCTTAAATCACCAATGAAAATGTCTTCAATTTCCAGTTCTTCATGTTAAAAGTTAATGCTTCACCCAGTGATGGGATGTGATTGTGAGTTAACATTTTATCCAGAATGCTACAAGTTGAAAATGTACTGCATAGTAAGAATGATTAAGTAATCTTCCTCACAGGAAAGCAGAGAATGCAGAAGAGTCAGTGATGGCACCTCCATCCTCAGCAACAGACTGTCATTACGGAGAGACTGTCTACTCCTTCGCTGACATCAAACACCAGTAAATTAGGTTTTATTTGATACATCATGCATGAATATAAGATCTCTGTAGACAGACTTGTCTTATCTATTATCTTCTTGCGATACTTCGCAGTGAAGGCGATCACGAGGACTCAAATAACATCAGACGACTGACAAAAGGTCTGACTGTTCATTTTAAAACCCACCGGAATTTCATGAATGATCTTTTTTGGTCCTTTACCTTGATCGGGTTGACTGGAATCTGTCTTTGTTATTGCCTTGCCATGTTTACTCCTTCCTGTAAGCAGGTACTGCTATAAATTCCCAATCCAAGAAGTGGCCCTTTTGGGTTACCCGCTGGAAGCAGTACTGGTACGCCCCTGTCTCTTCATTCATCGGCAACCTTGTGATGTACTTCGTCTTCCTGTTTCTGTATGCCTATGTGCTATTGGTCGACTTCAAGCAGCCTCCCCCCGAAGGCCCTGCCGTTTCTGAGTATGTGCTGTATTTCTGGGTGTTCACGATCGTGTGCGAGGAGATTCGAGAGGTAGGTGCTGCATTTCTTTGCTTGTATATATAATGTATCATATAATGGAATCGTATAATGATTAATCCATCCATTTCTTCCACTCTGTTCTCTTTCACTCCCAGACATTCATTGTGGGCAGTAAGACGTTTTCTCAGAGGTTGATGCTATATGTTCAAGATGTGTGGAATAAGTTTGATGTCCTTGCCATCTCCCTCTTCATCGCTGGTTTGTGCTGCAGGTAATGCTTGACAGCCCTGTATGTTTCCACAAAAGTATTTAGCAACTCTTTTCAACATTGGTAATAATAAGAAATGTTTTTTGAGCAGCAAATCAGCCTATTTTAAATATATTTGAATAGAAAACAGTCACTTTAAATTCTAATATTAGTTCAAAATATTACTGTTTTTACTGTATTTTTCATTAAATAAATGCAGCCTTGGTGAGCGTAAGATGGGTAAAAATGGGTTCTAATAACAGGCTGAGGTGTCACAACTTAGCAGTTAGCATTTACTAAATATTCATCATACCTTAGTGGTGTGCATTCTACTATATTTTTGTGTAATCATCTGTGTGTGTGTGTACTTTTGTGTCTGTCTCAGGATGTTCAGTTGGTCTTTCAACATGGGACGTGGTATACTGTGTGTGGACTACATGGTCTTCACGCTGCGACTCATTCACATTTTCGCAATTCACAGACAGCTGGGTCCCAAAATAATCATACTTGGCAAAATGGTGAGACAATCAGAGAGATTCAGTGCAAATGAAGCTCAATAGATGGCATCCAGCAATCAGTATGCACGCAATGCACTGCCATAAAACCAAGACCTTTCCAAGCAACCGTCCTAAAAAACATAATTCATCTCATGCTTTTAAAAGCACTTCAAGCCTAAAAGACTTGTAAACCACTAAAAGCCCATTGAGTGTCAATCATTTTACAGATATACAAAAGACATAAAATTAAATGATCACATTTTCGGATTTCACGACACATTTCACAACATTTTAGGATTTCATCAATATTTCACAAGCAGCTGGAGACCTTTCACATCTCACTTCTATATCTGTTTCATATGAATGAACCACAGATAAAGGATGCGTTCTTCTTCTTATTCTTCCTGGCGGTGTGGCTGAGTGCGTATGGAGTGGCCAATCAAGCGCTACTATACAAATACGACCCAAGCCCTGATAGAGCATTTCGACGAGTCTTGTACAGACCATATTTGCATATATTTGGACAGATTCCTGTGGAAGAAATAGACAGTATGTACAATATGATTTACACATAAAAGAAATAGTTCACTTAAAAATGAAACTTTGCTGAAAATGTTCTCACCCTCGGGCCATCCAAGATGATAGATGAGCTTGTTTCTTTATCAGAATAGATTTGGAGAAATGTAGCATTCCATCACTTGTTCACCAAAGGATCCTCTGCAGTGAATGGGTGCCGTCAGAATGAGAGTCCAAACAGCTGATAAAAACATCACAATAATCCACAAGTAACACACCACTCCAGTCAATCAGTGAATGTCTTGTGAAGAGAAAAGATGGATGTTTGAAAGAAACAAATCCATCATTAGGGTGTTTTACCTTTATATCATAGTCCATATTAACGATTCTTCCAGTGAAAAAGTCCATCCCTTTTGTCCTCTCACATCAAAATCCACTGACATATTTGTTTGTTAGAACTGTTTTTTGCTTGTAAACGATGCTTGATTTGTGCATATTTCTCTCCTGATACGGACAAGACACCTTATTTTAAATATATTTGAATAGAAAACAGTCACTTTAAATTCTAATATTAGTTCAAAATATTACTGTTTTTACTGTATTTTTCATTAAATAAATGCAGCCTTGGTGAGCGTAAGATGGGTAAAAATGGGTTCTAATAACAGGCTGAGGTGTCACAACTTAGCAGTTAGCATTTACTAAATATTCATCATACCTTAGTGGTGTGCATTCTACTATATTTTTGTGTAATCATCTGTGTGTGTGTGTACTTTTGTGTCTGTCTCAGGATGTTCAGTTGGTCTTTCAACATGGGACGTGGTATACTGTGTGTGGACTACATGGTCTTCACGCTGCGACTCATTCACATTTTCGCAATTCACAGACAGCTGGGTCCCAAAATAATCATACTTGGCAAAATGGTGAGACAATCAGAGAGATTCAGTGCAAATGAAGCTCAATAGATGGCATCCAGCAATCAGTATGCACGCAATGCACTGCCATAAAACCAAGACCTTTCCAAGCAACCGTCCTAAAAAACATAATTCATCTCATGCTTTTAAAAGCACTTCAAGCCTAAAAGACTTGTAAACCACTAAAAGCCCATTGAGTGTCAATCATTTTACAGATATACAAAAGACATAAAATTAAATGATCACATTTTCGGATTTCACGACACATTTCACAACATTTTAGGATTTCATCAATATTTCACAAGCAGCTGGAGACCTTTCACATCTCACTTCTATATCTGTTTCATATGAATGAACCACAGATAAAGGATGCGTTCTTCTTCTTATTCTTCCTGGCGGTGTGGCTGAGTGCGTATGGAGTGGCCAATCAAGCGCTACTATACAAATACGACCCAAGCCCTGATAGAGCATTTCGACGAGTCTTGTACAGACCATATTTGCATATATTTGGACAGATTCCTGTGGAAGAAATAGACAGTATGTACAATATGATTTACACATAAAAGAAATAGTTCACTTAAAAATGAAACTTTGCTGAAAATGTTCTCACCCTCGGGCCATCCAAGATGATAGATGAGCTTGTTTCTTTATCAGAATAGATTTGGAGAAATGTAGCATTCCATCACTTGTTCACCAAAGGATCCTCTGCAGTGAATGGGTGCCGTCAGAATGAGAGTCCAAACAGCTGATAAAAACATCACAATAATCCACAAGTAACACACCACTCCAGTCAATCAGTGAATGTCTTGTGAAGAGAAAAGATGCATGTTTGAAAGAAACAAATCCATCATTAGGGTGTTTTACCTTTATATCATAGTCCATATTAACGATTCTTCCAGTGAAAAAGTCCACCCCTTTTGTCCTCTCACATCAAAATCCACTGACATATTTGTTTGTTAGAACAGTTTTTTGCTTGTAAACGATGCTTGATTTGTGCATATTTCTCTCCTGATACGGACAAGACACCTTTTTCACTGGAGAAAGCAATATTATAGATTATTTTGACCAGGAGCAAAGGTTTGAAGTTAAAACATCTTAATGATGGATTTATTTATAATAAACACACAGCTTTTCACTTGAAAAGTCATTAATTTATGGACTGGAGTGGTGTGGATTATTGTGATGTTTTTATCAGCTGTTTGAACTCATTTTGACGGCACCCATTCACTGCAGAGGATCCATTGGTGAGCAAGTGATGCAATGCAAAGTTTCTCCAAATCTTTTCTAATGATGAAACACTCATCTACATCTTGGATGGCCTGAGGGTGTGTACATTTTCAGCAAATATTCATTATTGGGTGAACCGTTCCTTTAACTTGAAAACTAATAATATTTTACAACTTTTTGTTATCACGCACTAACTATATTGTGTGTGTGTGTTAAGCTGGGAAGTATTGGGATAGAGACTGCACAGATAATCTGACACTGATTAATGAAGGGAAAGAGCCATGTAGAGACACTAGCCACAACTGGCTTGTGGTCATTTTGCTGGTCATCTTCTTACTAGTCACCAACATCCTACTAGTCAACCTGCTCATCGCCACATTCAGGTATTTGTTTGTCTATTCATCCATCTGCTGTATGTGTTCATCAAATTATTCATCCATCTATGTATTTCTCTTCTTGTTGTGTCCGTTTCTGCAGCTATACCTTCACTAAGGTTCAAGAGCGCAGCGACACATACTGGAAGTTTCAGCGGTACAATCTGATAGTGGAGTATCATTCACGTCCAACTCTTGCTCCACCCTTTATCATCCTATCCCACATCAACCTCTTAATCAAAAGAAACTTACGCAAAGTGCCATCCACCAAAATCCACCGATTTGGTAAAGTTAGAAAATGATTACAGTTCAGCAAGCTGATTTGTTGAAGATGAAATGTGATGTAAAGTAACAAATTGTGTGCATTTCCCTTTTATAATAGCGGTGGAGTTGAAGGGTAGAGATGCTAACAAGTTGGTGAAATGGGAGACCTTGCAGAAGGAGAACTTTCTGGCTCTCGAGAACAAAAAACGAAGAGGGACGGACTCAGAGAGGCTAAAACGCATGACTTCTAAGTGAGTCAAACTTTCATGAAAAATCACATTTTCCTTCTGAAATAAGAATTTATCGTCTTACTTTAAGGCTAAGGCTAATGGCTAAGGCTAAGGCTAAGGCAAATGACTAGGGCAAAAGGCTAAGGCTAAGGCTAATGGCTAATGGCTATCTAAGGCTAAGGCTAAGGCTAAGGCTAAGGCTAAGGCTAAGGCTAAGGCTAAGGCTAAGGCTAAGGCTAAGGCTAAGGCTAAGGCTAAGGTGGGGGCATTGGTGATCCTCTGCCCATCTTGACTTCTGAGAGACACTGCTACTCTGAGAGGCTCTTTTTATACCCAATCATGTTGCCAATTGACCTAATAAGTTGCAAATTGGTCCTCCAGCTGTTCCTTATATGTACATTTAACTTTTCCGGCCTCTTATTGCTACCTGTCCCAACTTTTTTGGAATGTGTAGCTCTCATGAAATCCAAAATGAGCCAATATTTGGCATGACATTTCAAAATGTCTCACTTTCAACATTTGATGTTATCTATATTCTATTGTGAATAAAATATAAATTTATGAGATTTGTAAATTATTCCATTCCTTTTTTACTCACAATTTGTAGTGTCCCAACTTTTTTGGAATCGGGTTTGTATAAAAAAAGGCAATTTGGTGCAGATGCTAATATTTATATGGCCAAAAAAAGATTAAATTCTGATAGTTTGAAATGTAATCATTGAGCTTTTTATAACAGTACAGAAGACTAACATAAAATTATATTAATATCAGTATCTCCCAGTAAGATGATATTTGAATGAATGAAATGGTTAGTTTTATGATGAAAACATATAATGTTTCAAAACATATAATGCAATATAATACAATGATGATAAGAGATGAACCTGATGTGTTGTATTTGATACATTTGAACTTGAAAAAAAAAAACTTGGGAAAAAAAAAGTATGGATAATCAAGTAAACCCAAGTTGCTTTGGCCCAGTAAGTGTTCATCTTGAAATACTGTATTACTAACAATATAAATGTTATTATGTTTACTTTCTAAAAATCTGTAAAGATGGCCTGAAGGTGGACGTTTTTACAATTATACTAAAAGGCCTTTTGCTTGCTAAAAAGTATAAACTATTAATCAGAGTTGATTAACAAAATCATATCGAAATGTGATCAAAACCTTGTTGTTCCTCAGATTAATGCAGAATGTTGATATGATGTGTGTTTCAGGGTGGACGGTGTCATCAAACAGGTTGGTGAGATCAGAGATGTTGACCGCAGACTGCGAGCACTAGAATCAGATGTAAGGGCACATGATATGATATCTGCATTACACTGTATATTAGACTTTATCAAGATGTTGTTCATTGCTGAGTGCTCATCTGTATGCAGATGGAGTACTGTACATCTTCTCTTCAGTGGATAATGGAAGCTTTGTCTCAGAGCAGTACAGTGAAGAGCACTAAAGCACACCCGACTCGCAAAGGTACATCTGCTTGTGTCACAATACTTACATATATTTGAGCACAGTGATTTTCAACTGCTGGGTGACACAAAAAAAACAAAAAAAATCAAGGATAGTTTGTAAGAATAACAAGTGATTTAAAAACAGGGGTTACCAAACTTAAAAATAAAGAAATAAAATAAAACTTGAAATATTTATGTGAAGCTCCCCAGAGATTTTAAGTTAATATTTCTATAATTGAACAACATATTCGCAAGATCACGGTTCTCTGATGGTAGTTAATAGTCACGTGATATGCAAGTAAACAGATAAAATATGTAATGATTTTTTTTATTTTAAAATTATCTATTTTATATATTGTAATTGCGATTTTGTCATATATAGCAGTTTGAACTGTTGTTGTTGTTATTAGTTTTAACTCTAATTGTAAAAAAAATGTAAAAACAGAAATATACTACTGTTGTAAATTACAGTTGTACTGTAAAAAAGTATATGTGATAACACAATACATATTACAATAGGAATGGCAGAGGATCCCCAACTCCAGGTGTGAAAAACTTGTTGCATCTTTCCCAAAAAGACTCATGGCTGTATTAGATCAAAAGGGTGCTTCTACTAAATACTGAGCAAAGGGTCTGAATACTTAGGACCATGTGATATTTCAGTTTTTCTTTTTTAATAAATCTGCAAAAATGTCAACAATTCTGTGTTTTTAAAATCATTTAAGTTAAAAAAATTAACTTAAATGATTTTAGCAAATGGCTGCAATATAACAAAGAGTGAAAAATTTAAGGGGGTCTGAATACTTTCCGTACCCACTGTGTGTGTATGTATATGTATATGTATATATATATATATATGTATATGTATATAACTTTTTGTCAACTTTTAAAATGATGCACGTTGTTGTCAGATATTTTATATTGTCACAGCTTTAGTGGATGTATTTGCCATTGCCTGACAATCAGAAGATATTTTCATTTCCAGCCTAAATTGATTCATGGTTCATCTTTTTCAGCCCCAGTCATTTCAGCCTCCATTGAGAAATGAAAAAGAGCCTTCTTTCCTGTATTCGTCTTCTGTTTCTCACTCTCACGGACATGTGAACCAAGAAGCTGGAGAGAGTCAGTCAAAGGAGGGGCAATGACATGTCAAAAAACTACCCGTATTGTTCTGGTTTCCATTTTTAAACTAGTCATCCTGGCCCTTTTCACAGTTCATCCTGCTCTTACAAGTTTAGTGCTCCCAAATGACCTGTCCTCATTTTGCAGGTGATTGTGGGAAGAGAACAGGGCACGGAATGTCCTTGAACTTACTGTACACTGAAAGGTCAATTATGTCATGTTACGTTCATAGATTACTTTTATTGTTAGGTTTTTCTATAAGGTCAGGGTAACTGTCTTCATAGCATCTGATTTTTATAGAGCTATAACATGATTTAGAAGATTAAAGGAATGTTTTTGATTTGATGGCTTAAAGTGATAGTTTACCTCAAATTTAAATTCTGTCATTTACTCACCCTCAAGTTTTTCCAAACCTGTATGAATGTCTGTCTTCTGCTGAACATAAAAGAAGATATTTTGAAGAATGTTGGTAGCAAAACAGTTGATGGTCCAAAAATACTAACCAGGCTAATAACGGTTTGTTTGGAACAACTTGAGGGTGAGTAAATGATGATTTTTGGGTGAACTATCCCTTTAAAAGCATATGTGTTCAAACAAAGCATATTTTAACTTATACAACTTTGTATGTCGTCTTGTTTTTTAACAAAAAACCTTTGAACAATTCACATTTATTATGTAGTCTTGAGTGTTTTGTGCACTCAAATATGGAACTGAATGCCGCAAAGATTGTTTACACTTTAAATATAGCAAGATATGTTTCATAAGATATACTGTAATTGCATTCTGTAACAATGTACTTGGATTTTGTTTGGGTCTTTTTTATTCTATTTTTGGATGTTTAATTTTGTGATGCCAGTTCTTCATTGTCTTATTTGTGATATTGTATTCATTTGGCCTATTTTTTTATTATTATTAGACTTTTAATATACATTTTGAAACCATAATGTCTTATGTAACCATTTAAAGGATTGTAATGTTTTGGCAACCCCAGCAAAACAGAATCAGCAGACAGAGAGGAGATAAATGAATTGCGTGTCCAAGTTGGTCTCTCGGATTTCAGGGGCAACAGATCCTTCAGCATGTTCTCTCTTCCCTGACCCCCACCCCTCCAAAACTAAAGCTATCCCAATGGACTCTCTGGACTTGTAGACCCCACTAAGTTTTCTTTCCTGTGTTAATGTTTTATCCATTTAAACAGGAAGTTTGGGCAGGACAAGTGGCAATAGGTTTTAGTTATGTGACAGCCATGGTAGAAACTGAGCTTTTCAATTGCTTCACAAAATGGTTCATTATTTGAAAACTCTCCAAACGCACACGCAGGTGACACACCTGATGGTCAGAATGCTGTAAATGCAATGCAAACTCTTTTGCAAATGTTCTTAAAAAAATGTAATCTATACTAACTCATTAAATATGAAGTGTCTATATATATTGTGTTCTTTCATACATTTGTAGGGCTGGAGGGCTGGGTATGTGTGTGTGTGTATATATATACAGGGATGCACATACTTTTTTCAGTCTGTTTCTCATGAGAGCACCTGGAGATTGGGTTTGGTTCTCACTGCACATATAGTGTGACATATTAAATATAACTATAAAAACAATGATTCAAAGTAATAATAATCTTATTGCACTTTTAGTTAAAAAAAAATCTAATAATAAAGTGTGATAATACTATTATACTATATATGTATATATATACTGTACATAATACTCGTTTAAAATAAGTGATGATTAAATAAAAATACAATTATATATACATACTACTATTTTAAAATAAGTGAAGATTAAATAAAAATACAATTATTTTATATACACCTAAAAATGCAATGCTTATATTTACATAGATTTTTTTCCTTTTTAATGTTTGATTTCTTTATATCAGTTATCATTTTCAAACCTAAAATCAGCAAGCTTTAATTTTGGCAGGTTGCCAGTTTTACATTTTGCTGTGAAACCGGCAGCACATAGTCGAAGTTTATGCTTTCAGTTTGAAATGAAATCTTGTATAGTATTACAGTTAGTCGATCTAAAACGGTGATTGTGCATTAACAGTTGTTAGCCAAGTCGGTATGCCAGTGAGCACATTTTTTATTTTGGTCTGCACCTGCACACCACTTTATGTGCACCCCTGTAGATTTTAGAACCAATTTCTTTCAAACTTTCAGAAACATAAAAAAAAAAACATTTCATAGGGTATTCAAGTGTACTTTTTCTTGAGCAACCAATGATCAGCCCCACTGGCGGATTCAACTTCTGTTTAACTGTTGCCTTATTACGGTCTACACAGGACCCTATGTTAATATGGGATAAAAACAGCAAATTAATTAAACAAAAACACTTTTGAATACTACTGAGAATAAAAATTAGCTCAGGGTCAAGCTCTGCTGTTGTTGGCTGCCACAGCAACGGCAATAAAGGGATTTTTGGAAATGGCTTGTTTTGAGCACCAGCAAACCCAAAAAGAATGTTCATGTCCAGTATGCATTGCATTCTGTCAAAGACTGATGAGAGAAAACAAGCATGGCTTGCAGCGCTTAAGTTAAAGGGGTCATATGATATTGCTAAAAATAACATTATTTGGTGTAATGCAATGTGTTTATGCTGTTTAAGCTTCAAAAAACACATTATTTTCCACATAATGTACATTATTGTTTCTCCTCTATGCCCCGCCTTTCTGAAACACGTCGATTTTTACAAAGCTCATTGGTCTGAAAAGCGAGGTGTGCTCTGATTGGCCAGCTATCCAGTGCGTTGTGATTGGCTGAATACTTCAAGCGTGTGACGGAAATGTTACGCCCCTTACCATACTGTGTTTCCGTGTGTCCCGGCGTGACGAGACAAAAACATTAAAACCCATTACAAACGAGGCATTTGTTGCATCCAGTGGGGACATAATTACGGATTATAATGACTTATACTGTGTTTTTACGCGTTGCGTTGCGTATTGCGCCACGTAAACATAAAACCATGTCTGCATTTGTGATCGGAGAAATGAAAAACAACAAGCACTACTCTACACTGCTCAAAACTCGCATTTGAATCATCAGTGGCAAATTCTTTATATATATAAAAAAAATACTACAGTGAGAATAAAAGTTACGCCTTCTTTCTTTGTGATATTTTAGGTTTTAGTTAGGCGTGGACAAGTCTTAACTTTTATAAAGAATATCTCTTTGGGTTTGAGACTTTAGTCTTTGCAACTTTACAGATCTTCTTTATGCACCAAGAGCTTGTAACACTCCAAAGAGAAAGGAAAACTTGAATTAGCATCATATGACCCCTTTAAAATACTCCCCAAAGGTGGTATATACTATAAGTGTTCTTTTCATTTTGTGGACAAAAAGTCCTCTAGTTTTCCGGTACGAGTCAGGAAAGACTTCTGCTAGAGGAACCTGTGGAGAACTCCACTGGTTGGTGTTTACTCTAGATGTGAAAATCTTCCAGAAAACGAAATACGAATTTCATTTTCACCATCCAGTGATGTAAATTGTAGCAGGTGCAGACAGCAGTAGATAAAAGGGTATGCTGTGATTAAGATGTATAGAGGTGACCTTTAGAAAAGTACCCGGTATAGGGAAAGCGAGAGCGAGTGAGGGAGGGATGGAGTTTAAGCAGCTGAGTGATCTATTGAAGGTCAGATCATGCAGTGCTGCTATTGAGAGCCTCTTTATATAGCTTCCCACCCACCAGACCCAGTCAGGCCTAAGGAGGGTCAAAATGGGACTGGCTTCACTCGATTGTGTCTATGTTTGTGTTGTGTTGGTCCTAAAGTTGATTTGTGCCTTCCAATAATCTTCTATTACTCATGAGCACTTCTATTTTTCGCATTTTCTCTCACATAGACAAAGTAATAATAAAGGGCATTAGAAGTGTGTCTTCTGCATGTGGCCCTGTCAATCATCTCAGTATGTTCCTCTGTTCTACACCATTCTCTGAATGGTGCAAATATACATGTGACCATACAACAGAGACCAGCCCCCTCTCTGTCACTCAACTCCCTCTCTAATTCTCTCTGGTGGATCCAGTGACTGCACTTCCAAGTACTTGGTCCAAAGAACCAAAGATCTTGGATTTTTGAACCCCATAAGAAACTGCTCCTCTTGGGTGGATACGAACACATTTTTTATAAACTGTTTTTTTTGTGTGTGTGTGAGGGAGTGACTGCAAGATGGTAGCTTCACGTAGTTGGCTGTTGGGCCTTATCGTAGCTCTGCTTTGCACTGGATCGTTCAAGGATTCTGTGCAGGCTGAAGAAAGACTGCAAAGTGAGGAAGCCGAGGTGCTGAGGGGTCTGAACCCTACTGGAGGTGAGAAAGATGAGGTGGCTGATGAGGAGGAAGGTGGAAATATATCTGAAGAAGCTGATAAAGATGCAGGAGGAGATGGGGAAACAGAGGAAGCTGAAGATGAGGACGATGGAAAGGAAGCTTCTGAGGAAGAGGAGACAACTAAGGAGGAAGAAGCAGCTGAGGCTGAAGTGGAAGACGCTGAGGAAGAGGAGGAGGCAGAAAAAGGAGCAGATGAAGAGGAAGTAGCAGAGGAAGATGACGAGGCAGAAGGAGTAGAAGATGAAGAGGAAGAGGTAGAAGAAGCAGAAGAGGAGGATGAGCAGATGGCGGTAGATGTAGAAGAAGAATTAGCAGAAGAAGAGGAATCAGCACAACAGACAACAGAGGAAGAAGAAACAGCAGCAGAGGATGAGGGAGCACCAGGTGAGGAAGAGGAAGAGGCAGATGGGGAAAAGGTAGCTGCTAATGAAGATAATGAGGAGGCTGGAGATGGGGAAGATGAAGAGACCATCGTTGAAGGTAACTACTGAATTAGCATTTTCAATAGCCTTTACAGAGAATCAGTTTCAATGTTAATTGTTTTTGCTTACACTGAAAAAAAAAATCAGTATATTTACTTGGGAAAAAAAAGCTAGGAAACTATTTCATCATGTGACTCTTCGGAGATATGAAGGATGTGATACTATTATATAGGTACTCAAGATTGGCAGAAACTGTGTGTGTTATGTCCCCTTTAAGAACGATTATTAAAAAAATAATATTAATGGTAATACATACCTTATTTAAATTCCTGAGTAACGTTTACATATTACTTATAACTACAATTTGTCAATCATTAATACTGATAATGTATTTCACCGCAAAAGACACATGTTCCAAAACCTAAGGTGGACATTTTTACAATTATACTAAAAAGCCTTTTATTTGCTAAAGTAGTATAAACTATCAATCAGACAAGAAAAGGCATGTAGTAGATCGTAGCAGACAGGTTTTTCAGCTTTTCAAGCTTTGATCATGTTGATGATTTAGAGATCTTAGAAATTTGCGTATCAAATATGATACAGTGAGCTTTATAGGGTTGAAATGCTGTTTTGGAACAGGGCCATTGTTGGCTTTGCAAAGTCCTGTGAATGCCTCTCAGTAAGTATATGAAGTCACACATTGGCCCTAAAATAGCTCACTACATCAGAACAGCTACAGCAGCTGAAATATTCCAACCATTTTAAGTCCTTTCTGGCTGAATGCTGTTGACTTGAACCTAACACACAGCATTATTGTTACATGGTAACACTCGACTGTATGGCCACCACTGAAACCTAGAGTCTGTTATCAAGTTAAAGTTCACAAACACTAAAAGTGCATTTGAGTTTTCTAGCTGCCATTTGACATGGAACAAAGCAACTATACCTTTCTCAGTGGCAAATGTCAACTAGCTTTCCCTTAACTTACTGCTGTCAGATGAATAACCAAATTCCATTTTTGTGCCCTTGAAGGGCACCATTTGTAGGGGTGTTCCAAATGAAAGTGAACAATTGAGTGCCTTCACAATGGGCCCTTCCACAAATTTGTTAGTGAAGGGTCACTTCAAAGAAGTAATTGTATTGTTCAAGGTTATGTGACCCAGGGAGACAAGTCCTTGTGACGGTGGGAGAATGAGTTAATGTAAACAGAATAATTCAAGTTGTTTTGTTTTGTTGTAATTACACTAATTTTCAGCATGCATTTTATAGGAAGTTTAAATAAGTCTCCTTGGTATCTAAGAACAGAACAGAAAGTATACATTAAGAATAAGAATGGACCAAACACCGAACCCTGCACCCCAATGATTAGCCGATGTGACTTGGACACATATTCTCTCCAGAAAACCTTAGACGTGACTAAACAAATATTTCAAGAACTTGACAGAAAAGTTGGCAGGACTAGTCTTTATCTTTCAACTGCTGTAGGGTTAACTGTTGTGGGGTCAACCAAGCCTTGCCTAAATATGGTGGGAAAGTAGCCAGTAGTAGGAGACGCATTGATGTGATTGAGTGGAGTTGGAGAGATCTCTTGTACAAAATCCTGTTAATAGTCTGTAGGTGTCTGAAGTGTTGCTGATCTTGTTTCAGTAGTAAGTGACCTTGGCAGAAGAATCAACTAAAGGAGAAGAAGGAGATGAGAGATTGATACTTGCTCAAGTCAGCGGTGATTCAGAGAGAATGAAAGACAACTGGTGAAAAATGTGTTTAGAGAAATGTAAGAAAGTGACAAGATTATTGTTAGGGATACAGTTATGGGTGAGCTTGCATTGTGTGCTGCAGCGGAGTATGAGGCCATAAATTCTAGGAAGTCAGCTGCTTGAGGTTCGTCCAGGTGGATGTTGAAGTCTTAGTAGCAGTAATTGATATTATAAGGATGTGTTTTTGCAGAGAGAAGAGAGAGGATTGGATTTCCAAAGTTGGAGACAAAGTTGGTAGAGAGAATTTAGAGAGTTGTCATTTTGTTGCATGATCCTTGTCTGTCAGACCAAAACATTTTAAGAGGTTTGATGACTGTCCAAGGCAGGGATGAAGTCAGCCTTGTTGACCGCCAACTGGAAGCTCCAACAGACTGAGAAAGACTGAGCATACTGTAGGTACCCTGGATTGGACGTCCACCTACAATAAACAAAAAGGAGGTACTAAAATGCCACCAAAATGAACAAAAATGTCTCCCAAATTCAAGATAAGGGGACAAAAATGACCTCTGCACAATTTTCGTTCTGTGCATACACGTGCTGAATGAATCTTGCACTCTTGCGGATTCTCTCTCATCATAAACAACAAATTGCTGCTACAGTGTAAACAATGTAAAGATATTAATTGTGCAGTGTAGACAGCTTCATGGGATTATAAAAAGGATTTTTTGCGAGAGTATATAATCTTGATTTTCTAATGCATGGAAAACAATAAACAAATTCATAAACAGTTCTTACCTTGTTTTGTCTGTGTAGCCTACAAGAATATGACGATCCATTTCCCCACACATAAAAACGACTTTTTAATATATTCTATTACTCAACATTAATAATCATTATTACAAAATCAGAAGCAATAATAAACAATTTGTCATAATATTGCAGTTCTGCCCTGTAATGAATTCCTTTAATTCTATAATTTCTATCCTTTAAGTAGGCTACATGCATGCCACCTTTAAGCAGAATTAAATAAACATGCCGTGTGAGATGCAGCTTCTGTTCCACCATTGTAGTGTAAAGTTGATTTTTGTTGATGTTGATAAAATGTTATATGTAAAAGTCTACAGTATTCTGATTGATTTTAGCAATTGGTTATAGTTAAGTATTTGACATAAAAGGCAACACTAATAGATTTAATAAGGTAATCCTAGAAAATGCACTTACAAAAGTAAAAAAAAAAAAGGCCTGGAAATCAATCAAGTTAATTTCTGACCCTGATGACATCATGACGATGATCAGTGCATGAAGTAATTTCACCATGAACTTACTGAAGTATAGATTTGGTGTGATCCCTTCCTAAACCTTAGAGGTGTAGCTTCCTACTCTATCTCTGTCCGCCTCTCTCTTTCTTCTCAGCACTGCGGTACCTGTGACAAATGTCCCTGTGAGGAAGGAGACACGTCAGCACACTGCAATCACTGTGACGTAGGTGTTCTTTCTTAATATGATCAACATTCATATTAATAAAGGCCAAAAGTATGTGGACACCCAAGCACTATACCTAATTTAACTTCAAATCTTAATGTTGATAAAAAAATCTATGAACATGGTCTATGAACATGTTATGCATCACCTACCCTCTTACCTTCTCCTTCCACAGGATTGTTCCTACTGTTACATTTGTCCTGTGATCTGTGAAACAGTCTGCCAGCCAGGTAGGATGCTGATGTTAATAGGATGCACACTCTTAATTAATGCTAGAGTATCAAAGTTAAAAAAGCAGTGTATATACTTAGCTTACGCAGATGATCCAAGCACCATTTGTTAGCAATATATGTGTTATGTAATTAAGTGTTAATGTATTAAGTCTTTTTGGATTATATTTTTGGAATGTTTGCTTGTTTTTAGGTAGGATTCTTGATGTGCTGAGTGGTTCTCTCTACCAGTAAGGATGCAACATCTGTCCGAAACAATACTTGCAGAATAATCACATTATGAATGTATTCATACCTGTTATCAGCATAGTTTTATGTTGAGCCTTATCTGTGTGTATTTTTGTCCTCAACTTCACCTACAGCACGGTGAACACGTTGCTCTGAATACTTTCAGCATTCTTCACAGCGCCACAGGTGAACAGAGGAACTACAGACTAGCGTTCAAATCATTCACTTGTAGACCTGTCTATTTGGCTGGCGAGATCTGGGGATTTTCACTCTGAGGCCAGTGATGGGAGTGGACAACCTATCTTAAATATAACTGAGGAACGGTCAGGACCTTAATGTTTATCATGCACTCTAAAAAATGCTGGGTTGTTTTAACCCAACTTTGGGTCAAATATGGACTAACCCAACTTTTGGGATAAAAATGTAATTGAAAAGTTGAACCCAACAGTTGGGTTAGTCCATATTTGACCCAAAGTTGGGTTAAAACAACCCAGCATTTTTTAGAGTGTGTAATGGTACTTTAAAGGTGACTTAACAAGCTGCATTAAATGCATAACAAATATGATTACATGCAAATTATCTTATTTCGTACTTATATTATATTTTACAATATTACTGTTTTTGACTGTATTTTGATTAAATAAATGCAGTCTTGGTGAACATGAGACTTTTCTTCAAAAGCATGAAATCTTACCGACCCCAAGCTTTTGTACATATATGGAGAAATTTACATTGAATAACAACAAAAAGTTCAGGTCGACATGAATGTGTCAATTCTGTCTGTACGGTTTCAGATGAATCAGTATCAATTTAAATAAACATGTATAATTTATGAGTGTGTGAATAAACAGATACACTATACACAATACATTTTTACTCACCCTCAAGTTGTTCCAAACATGTATGAATTTCTTTCTTCTGCTGAACACAAAGAAATATATTTTGTAGAATATGGCTAACCAAACAGTTGACGGTCACCACTGACTTCCATACTGACTTCCAACTGTTTGGTTACCCATATTCTCCTACAGGTTTGGAACAACCTGAGGGTGAGTAAATGATGACAGAATTTTAATTTTTGGGTAAGCTATCACTTTAATTTAGGACATCATGTTGGGAAATTGAACAAATGCAAGAAATTACAGATAGCCTTCTGATGAGATGCAAAAATACTGTAGTAGTGTTCATTGCAAATGCTGTACTTCAACAGGCACTGCTGTCAAATCCTGGTAGTACGATTGGTGATCTTCAAATGGAGGAAAGTAATGAAGAAATAGCTTCAACATCTGTATATTAATTCATACATATTTTATACACTGTTTGTTCTTAGCTTCCAATGCAATTGTGTCTATTCAATACACTATTCATTCAGATTATTAAAACTAAATGACTAACAACTGCACTTTGTCATGCTCTGCTCATACAACAGAAACCTCCCTCTTAAGGTGTGAAAACTTGGTTAGAGAGTGGAAACTGAGTTCTTCCCTTCTCTAAAAGTCATGTAAAGGAGAGTGCACTGAAATAAGATGTTTGTTATTATGACTGAGCATGTGAAGAAAAAAATGGTGGGCAAAATGTTTCACTTTCAGTCATTGTTAATATACTTCACAGACAATTACAAAGAAAAGGCAAGTAACAAATTTAATTAAATGTAAAATGTTGTATATATGGAACTGTATGTGTGAATGCATAAACCTAAACCCATTTCCTTTACAGGAAATTATTTTTTTCACTCTGTAGACTAGTACATACAAACATTCAGAGGCAATGACAGCCTGAATAGCCCAACCTGTTGCTATACTGTGGTCTGTTAAAAAAATAAAGGCACTGTAGCTTGTGCAATGGTAAGTTGCCACATTAATTTTTTTTTTTTCACTAAATGTTTTCAACATTTTTCAGTAGCTAAAATGTTTTAAGAATTAAATGTAATGTAACCCAGGAAACATTTACACTGACAAAATATCAAATATCTTCTGATTTAATGTGAAAATATGCTAAAAATGCTTATTTCTAACAAGCAGATGCTTCTCAAGACATGTGTGGTTGTTATTTTATTGTCTGACTTCAGCATTGCAAAAGGTGAGTATTTTCTGTCACTTTCTTGTTGTGTTGTTTGAATCAGCTTTATTTTGGTTGTCACTGAATAGAACTATAAATATATTCATGCATATTATTTTTTATTCTAAGAACAACACGTCACAGAACACAGGAATATATAGGGATCAGGCTAAATGTACACACTAGTTGATTTAACAGTTAATTCCGACATGTCTCTTCTTTCGCCACTCTCACTTTAAACACAACCGAGGGTGAAGAAGAGTCTAAAGCAGTTTATAGAGCTGACCTTGATTTCCTTTTTCTTTCAAATTTATTTGAGATTGGTGCTATTTTGGCTGTGGTGAGCAATATTACATTTTCATATACCCTTAAATAAAATATGTTTCTAAATATTTCTGAATATGAAACTTTCAGGGAAAGTTGGATGCTTTATGTGGGACCTTTGGTGAGGAGCCGATTATTTCTAATTGTGAGCAAACTCAGTCTACCCAATCATTGACTACTTTTACCTTGACAAATCCACCTCTAATTACTGATTTAATCAGGGCCGGAGTGGGACTCATTTTCAGCCCTGGAGTTTCATGGCTTAGACCAGCCCACTTTAGTTTACGACTGAGCTATTCAAATAATTAAAACTTTAGTCTGCAATAGTGCACTGTTCTCTACAGCCTTGTAATTCATTGTATTTTTCTAGAGCTTTTGTTTATATATATATATATATATATATATATACAGTATGTATATACTGTATATATATACATACATACTGGCCTTTTCAGCGCTGTCTTTGCGCTTTATCCATTTTTTATCTATTATTTTTTGGAGTGCATATCTCCAACAACTGAATTTTTTTTTTCCTTAGCAAGGTGCCGCAAATGGAAAATAAGGGACAATTGTGATTCTTAATAAGAAAATAAGGGACAGAATAAGGGACGCTCAAAATATTTGTACTGTACCATAATGTATGTCTGCCTGCAGTTCAAAAGTTCTCAAAAATAATCACATTTGTTTTGCTTAACCTATTTATGTACATTTATTCTAAAAAATAATTGTAATGTCATACAAAAAAAAAAAAGTAATCGGCCTGAGTAAATTGTACCATTAAAGAATTGTGACTGCACAATTAGTGTAGGCCTACTAATTTAGGAGGTGAAAATACTGAGAAATTTCATACAATTGCATGAAATTTGAAAGCATAACAACTGAAGGTCTA